ATTATTGCAGGCTATGGAGATTCCGACTTGGAAATGGAAAGTAATCAATATGGACTTCATCGTAGGCTTACCTCATACCCAACGTAAGTTCGATTCGATATGGGTGATTGTTGATAGTCTTACAAAGTCAGCCCGTTTTCTGCATATTAAGACTACATATTCCTCAGAGGATTATGCGAGGCTTTATATCAAGGAGATAGTACAACTGCATGGTGTCCTTGTGTCTATCATCTCGGATAGAGGAGCTCAGTTTATAGCTAACTTCTGGAGGTCCTTCCAAAAAGGATTGGGGACTCAAGTAAGTCTTAATACATCATTTCATCCCTAGACAGATGGACAGGCTGAGCGTACTATTCAAAACTGGAGGATATGCTATGAGGTTTTGTAATAGACTTCAAAGGTAGCTAGGATGATCATCTGCCGCTTATTGAGTTCGTATATAATAATAATTACCATTTCAGTATTCAGATGGCTCCATATGAAACTCTTTACGGACGGAAGTGTAGGTCGCCTATAGGGTGATTTGATGTTGGAGAATCGGGATTACATGAGGGCCAGACCTGGTTCAGCAAGCCATAGAAAAAGTAAAGCTTATCCGGGATCGACTATTGACAGCTCAAAGTCGTCACAAGTCATATTCTGACGTGCAGTGACGAGATTTAGATTTTGGGGTTGATGATTGGGTATTCTTAAAGGTGTCGCCTATGAAGGGTGTGATGAGGTTTAGCAAGAAAGTCAAACTTAGTCCACGATATATTGGGCCTTATAAGATCATTCGAAAAGTGGGCAAAGTAGCTTATGAGTTAGAATTGCCCTCGGAATTAGAGTCTGTCCAGCCAATTTTTCACGTATCTATGTTACGAAAATACATTGGCGATCCTACCCGAGTGGTGCCCACGGATGATGTACAGATTACAGAGGACTTGTCATATGAGGAAATTCTGGTTTCCATCTTAGACCGACAAACCCGCAAGTTGCGGAATAAGGAGGTTTCCTCCGTGAAAGTACTTTGGAGAAACAACAATGTGGAAGAATTGACTTGGGAGACCAAGGAAAACATGAAGTCTAGATATCCCTACATATTTCCTCCTCCAGAGAAGGGTCCGACTGAGACGTCATAATCATAAGGTACGAGTATAAATTCTTGTATTGGTTATTATCGTTGGTCATGTGAGGCCATTGTCGTTATTCATAATCATGGTCCTATGTGTCGTTGGGTTATTAAGCTTCTACAGGGAGAGTTAGTAGTAGTTTTGTTACAAAGGTGGCCCTGCCAAAGTTGTACAGAACACGAGGAGTTGAACATTTGAGGACGAATGTTTCTAAGGGGGGAAGGATGTTACATCTCATGTTTTCGTACGTTAAAATTTCGTTTTCAGTTAACCGACGTAGACTCGGGGACGAGATCATCTTAACGTTAACGTATTTACACTATTTATAACAAGCGATAAATAATGGGTTATGAAGGATAAAGGGGTACACGGATTAAAGAAAACGAGTTTCGTTGAAAGTGGCCAATTTGGAATAAAATACGGGTCGAGCGATAATACCCGATAATTATGAACTAGTATCATGCAAGGCACCATATAACCACGGTAGTATAATATATAAAGTATATATGAAGTATTTAAAAAAATAAAATTCTAAGTAATTTGTGATAATTTTTAAATTATGCGGGTAATTGATTAATTATCGGGTAACAGAATATTACCCAGTTAACTAATAAGTGGATAAATAATTAATAAATTAACCTCCCCCCTCCCCCCATGTGGCAAGAAGCAACAAAGCCTAGAAAGTGACTAAGTAGTCACAATTCTAGGTGGCTACTTAATAATGACTTAAAGTCTTAGAAAGACTTATACAAACTTATCCAAATCTGTCTTTAGATTCATTTTAATGTCTTTAGCCTCATTTAATGCCTTTGGCTTCATTTTCATTACTTTGGCATTGAAAGAAGAAATATTCCATTTCAAATAACTAAAGCTTCATTTGAAGCAATTTTGTCAAACAAATTCAACTCCTTAGAAAATTTCGATAGAAATTTCAAAAGCTAGGAATAGAAGCTACTTACGTTGGAACAAGTTTTAAGTTTAAATCCATTCTTTAGATAAAAAACGTTCAAAGCAGAACAATTCATCCAAGATTTCAAGGAATTCAAATGTAATTTCATTCATATTTCGCAGAAGCAGATTCGTTCAAATAATTTAAGTATTAAGGCCCTCCCTTCTTTCTTTTGGCATGGTCCAAATTATACTGAAAAAACGAGCAAACACACAGTTTCCATAAATTACTTTATTCATAGAATTATTAGGGGTGTCTATATTCTTTATTTCCCATGAAAATTATTATTATTTTCTGTTCATGGGTCTTAGAATACGCAATTGAAAAAGTTTATCCGGAAGGAATATTGAGATTTTTACGTATTTTTCATGCATTTCACTCATTTATACATGTGCATTGACCTATGACCAGATGGCATTATATACGCGTATATATGTAAATATATGTATATGGGATATGGGAAAAGGTTACGGCGTTATATACGCACCACCACCTGATCAGCTGGTATATGTTGATGACGTTACCCACAGTGGCCGAGATGATATGATGGGATGCCCTCAGTGTCTTGATGATATTATGTACACCCATACCTATGCATGGCACGGCATTTATACGTACATGCATGACATTATAAACGTTTCAGAATTTATAGAGTTATTCAGATATAAAGATATGTTTCCTTATTCCATGTTTCATCTATGTCTCTTATGTACTAATTTTCATGCCTTACATACTCAGTACATTTTTCGTACTGACGCCCTATTTCACAGGGCCTGCGTTTCATGCCCGCAAATGCAGGTAGGCAAGATGACGGTCCCTTTTCTTAGGATCCCTGATCCGCGAGAGTTGGCGTGCTCCATTTGATCCGGAGCTACTTTTGATTTTGGTACGATACGTTTGTGTGTGTATATATATATATATATATATATATATGTATATGGGTATGACGTGGCTCAGTCCCGCCTTTGTACAACTATGTTTCTATTAGAGGTCTGTAGACAGTATGTCTAGTTGGGTTGTATGTGGCCTTGTTGGCTTTCAGTTTTAGATGTACAATTGTCTATAGCAGCCTTGCCGGCTTGCCCACTGTATTCTGCATGTATATGTACATATGCCTTGATGGTAGGTTTCCTTCACGTATGTCAATTTCGTAATGCAGCAGATGTTATTCAGATTCATATCTTAGACGCATGCTTAGGGGTGTTTGACAGGTAGGACTCAGGAACCCGTCGCGGCCCATCGGTTTGGGTCGTGACAAAATGCTCCTACTAGAATAAGTCCTAGAAGGACAAAGTATATGATACGCTTAAAGCGTATAGACAAATCAGTTTCAAATAAACTTCTTAATAAAGAACATAAGCAACTGATCAAAATGATCATAATAAGGAGGCAAGTGATGTAGAAAGATCACATGACATAACACTTCATAAAATCTCAAGAGAGATTCAGGTACCTGAAAATATGAATGAAGATATCTTTATGTCATGTCTTTATGAAAAAAATATTGATACTGATAAAATATTTGTTGATGACATCTATGATAGCGCTAAGTATACATGAGGATCTTAAGTCTGTCGAATACAGACACAAAAATATTGGTCAAGTGGAAGAGACACAATTCAAATAGAATTTGTTTCATATGAAAGACATATAGTTTTGTCTATGATGTTCAAACACTTGAAAACATAAAGTCAATGGTACGTGCAATCAGTTTTCGATATCTTATTTGGGTGGAGTTTGATCTTTTGCTGCTCTCATTGACTACAGAGGCATGCAAGAGAAAGCTCTGAACAATTATTCAATGATTGAAGAGGCTTTGACAAGACCTCAGCATTCTCGCTTATGTTATTAAGACTCACTTGTCTTCCGGCTAGCATGACATGAAAACTTTATATGCATATAAAGTTTATTTAAATGGCTTATATGACTTAACTTATATGACAACCTTTGAAGGATTCAAAACGCTTAAAGCATATACAATTCTTGATTCTGAAGTACCACATTTTAAGTGCAATTTGTGCACATATGTATCTTGCTATAACTATAAGCATGATAATATGATAGCGAGAATTTCTATGGAGATATTGAAAATGTCATTCCACGTCATTATATGAAGACATTACATATCTATCAAGAATGATGATTTCAAAGTGCAATATATTCATTCAAGTTAATATGACTGATTTGTTCATCAAATCTCTACCAACGATCTTTTGAAGATGGTATACAAGATTGGAATGAACATGTTCAAGGATGTGAATTGATGCTCTCATCAGAGGGAGTTAATACGCGTTGTACTCTTTTTTCCTTACAAGGTTTTGTCCTACTGGGTTTTTCTTGCAAGTTTTTTAACGAGACAACCAAAAGGCGTATTATAGATATGTGTACTCTTTTTCCATCTCTAAATTTTTTTCCCACTGGCTTTTATTTTAGTTAAGGTTTTAACGAGGCACATTATCTGTTGAATAGACACTCAAGGAGCAGTGTTATAAATAGAATTCTATTTAAGGTGAATGTCTATATTCTAGAGAGATTCTAGGGTTTGTTACTTGGTGGCTAAGTCAATTTTCTCCCTATAAATGGGGGTTCTATTCCATTTTAATTCATTTCAAATCAATAAGAATTTTCTCTCTACTTTTCTTTGCAATACTCTTTTCTTCTTCTATTGTTTTATAATATTTTCACAATTTTTACTTCAGAACACTTTTAAAAAAAAATTCAAAAACAGCCCAAAACTATATTCATGTCCAAACACAACTCTAATTTTCAAATGTTATTTTCATTTGAAAAAAAAAGAAGGGAAAAGGGCTATGTATGTCCCTATACTATTCCACGTTTCTCTGTACGGATACGTGGCACATTTTTAGATCCCCAGACCCTTTTTCTTTTCCCAACCCAGATCCATACCCGAAAACGTCCTAAACCCATATATCAATGTTTGTATTGCGAATTTGCGAGGGAGCAAGTGCGTTTGATTTATTATCTCGTTCTCGTCCTAAAAAGATTTCAAATCTCGTTATTTGCTTAACTGAAGAAAAAAGGAATGCCATCTGAATGAATGAAGGTTCTTTGGACGTGGAGAAAACCAAGACGACGCCCATTTTCTAGAAAATTCCCAAAACTCTTTCTCCCCGTGAAATCATGGCTTCACGCAACAAGAAAAATGGCGATTCTAGTATTAGTAACTTGGGATCAAAGAACGGAGTTGAAGAAACCCTAGACCACATCAGCCAGTTGCCGGACGCAATCCTGGTACAAATTCTCTCTCGTTTGCCGACGGAAGACGCCGTGGCATCGTGTGTTCTTTCAAAGAGGTGGCGTTATCTCTGGACTTCAATTTATAACTTCCTTTTCGTTGCTAGAAATTATAAGAAAGCAGAAAACTTCAGGCACTTTGTGGACCACGTTGTGACTCATTCCACTTGTTCCAAAATCAAAAAATTCCAACTCGATTTGATGTGCTTCTTTGGATGGGTTTTAGATTTGTAAATCAGCCAATGGCTCAGCTTTGCTGTGGAAAGAAAAGTGGAAAATCTTGTTTTCTACTCACCTGTTGATCTTACTTCCGTATTGCCTCTATCTATCTACAGTAGTTCGTCATTGATTGCATTGGAATTGACCCGCTGGGTGTTCGATAAAAGATGGGTTATAGTTTGGAACTCTCTAAAGAGCCTAAACCTGCACTTGATAGGGTTAGACGATGACAACATTGTGAACTTACTGTCAGGTTGTCCTGCTTTGGAAACGTTGGAGTTGAGATTATTCAGAGGTTTTCATCGTCTTGAAATTACTTCTTCAAATTTAAAGAAACTAATATTGGCAGGCTATCTGAACTTGCGTGATGACGGAATTATGGAGTCTTTGGAAATTATTGCCCCACATCTTCAGCATTTGGAGATTTCAGGAGATCTTGGACATTTCATGTGTAGGCGAGTAAATGTCTCCTCTTTGGTTACTGCTAGCCTCACTTTTGAGATTACGTGTATCGCTATGTTTGAAGACACTTGTGGTGATTATCATCAAGTTTCCAGAAACCTTGTTATGGACTATCTTGAAAAATTAAGTCATGTGACTCAGCTAAGAATTGGAAGTTGGTTAGCAGAGGTTTGTTTTTATGTCAAAAGACCTTATTCTCTATTTGATTTTGATTAGCAAAGTATTGCAGAATGTAAACCTGAGAAAGGGAAGAACCTTCAGAATCTCATACAATTATGAACTTTTTTATACATGAAATTTTTAGTGAAAATAGTTTTTTTTGGTGAATAATTGAATGGAATCCTATCTACTTTCTGAAGTTGGATATTCCTTAAAGTGGTTAGATGGTTAGATTTGTCATAACACTACCTTTTTGTTGTCGATTACTTTTCCTATTGTTGCTTCTTTCTCTATCCTTTACTAATTCATTGGGATTATTTCTCCAGGTTGTGTTCATGTTGCAACTTGATGGATTGCCACTTCCAGAATTGAGATGCAAATGTCTAACGCTAGAGATGAATGTCTCACCTCTTTTGGAGACACTAAACATACACTTGGGAGTTGAGGTCGATATTTCTCTCNAAAACACACACACACACAAAAAAAAAGAGTGTAAGTGTTTTTAAGGAGAATGCAAATAAAACATTAATTATCATTAAGAATCTTTTGTCACACTATAAAGCTGTAAATTGATTGGTCAGGGTAATTGCTTTCTATCTGGTAAACGAGCTCAAGAAAGTAAAAGGATCGGTGACCAAACTTAACTGCTTGGTTTATGTACTGCTTGAGTATTTCTGATATGAATTCGATATTGTGATCATTTACTGAGAACAAAGGTTCAAGATTTGTGGTTTTTGAAAATTGTTCCTTTATAGGACAATGCTACTGTGCAATCATTTTATTTTATCTTCTGTTCAATGTTCCCATTAAGCTATAGACCTGCATTTGGTTCTGATTATATTTTTTGTTCCAGTTGATTAATTACCACTGTGGATTTGAGCTAAGCTATTTTGACAAAGGAGTAAATATCAATTTGCAGAATTGGATATCGAACATCGTGTTTCCCAGTCTTAAGAATGTTAAGATTGTTGGCTGCGGTGAGGAATGTTCGAACAACTGATATAATCTAAGCTTTTCGAACTTTCAAAATTTCTACTAAAGAATGCAGTACTTTTGGAGAAGTTTGTTATCGTAGCAAAGAGAAGAAGATGCTGCTATTGTTCAAAGCTCTGTGTCTTCCGATATTTTTGTCAACTTGCTAAGAAATTGTTAGACAGCCCAAGATCATCTAAGAATTTTGTGATTACTTACGAAGAGGCTGCTTAGCGGGACTAGACTGGAAGTGGTTTTGTATTGGAATACTAGAAATGTTACCTTATATTGTTTCTTTTGATTTACTGCAGATGTAACTTTGAACTTGTGGCATACCAAATGTTGTGGATGCTTGAATTCTCACGAAGCCTTTGTTTGTTGCACTCTAAACATTGCATATGTACTTGGAATTTTCATTCAACTTTTTTCTGGAACTGTTAAGATCGGCAAACCTACAAGGAACATGTTTTCTGATAATTAAGCTCATGAAATGCTGTATTTTGCTTCCTTTGCCTATAGCATCAAGATTCTATAACAGGGAAAAGGTTCTCTTTTCGGCCTTTTTCTTGGAAAGAGGAGTTTCTACTTTTTTATTTTTCATTTGGATAATTTTGGAAATCTCCTAGGGACAGTGGCATACGATGGATAATAGGCTCACCCCTATACCCTTCTCTACTCAAGTACCAGACTTTTGTCTGCAGCACAGTTAATCTAATGATCCATACACCTTGCGAAACATTGATTGATATGTGCTCTGTTATTTGCACATTAGCTGTTCTAGCCAGATCGTTAGAGGAGCTATAATTTCATCTTCTAGTTTTTTTATTTTCTTCCACTATTTTTTCTGAGATATTCACGCTCCTGCAAAGCCAATTGCCTGAGGAAGTGGGTACTGATTTTACTTCTGCTGATAAACTTATCTATTGGGACAAGGTCACCAAAGCGAGGTATATCTTATTTAAATCAAAGCCCATTTTCTGTAGAAGAATTGTTGATTTGAAACTTCTAAAGAAAAATGGGTGTTTTGACAGAGTGTATGAGAGTGTCAATTCTCATTTTAAGAATATGAATTTGGTACAAGAGAAAAGAAAATGGATCAAGAAAGTTGATTCAGAATCAGTGCCTACAGCCTATCATGTTCCATCACTTGATGAACAATTTACTGAGATGTTAATCCAAGAGAACTTTAAGCCATTTTGATTTGTCGTAGCACTATCTTTTTGTTGTGGACTACTTTTCCTTTGTTGTTGCTTCATTCTCTATACTTCACTAACTTCATTTGAATTATTTCACCAGGTCATGTTCATTTTGCAAGTCATCCCCAAGAAAGGGAGCTTCAAGTACCTGAGGTCGATTATACAAGCGATGGAGATATTGACGAGGATGTTACGCACCATATAGGAGTGGGGTGGATGAAATGGAGGCTAGCGTCTGGTGTCCTGTGGGACACGAAGGTGCCTCTGGAACTTAAAGGAAAGCTTTATAGAGCGGTGGTTAGGCCGACTATGTTGTATGGTGCAGAGTGTTGGCCAGCCAAAAATTCTCATACCCAGAAGATGAAAGTTGCAAAGATGAGAATGCTGAGATGGATGTGCGGGCACACTAGGCTGGATAAGATTAGGAATGAAGATATTCGGGTGAAGGTGGACGTAGCTCCCACAGAAGACAAGATGCGGGAAGCTAGGCTTAGATGGTTCGGGCACGTGAGGAGGAGAAGCCTGGATGCACCGGTAAGGAGGTGTGAACGGCTGACCTTGACGGGTATGAGAAGAGGTAGAGGGCGGCCTAAGAAATATTGGGAAGAGATGATCAGGCAGGACATGGTGTAGATGCAGATTTTCGAGGACATGGCCCTTGATAGGAAGTGGTGGAGTCGAGCATTAGGGTTGTAGGTTAGGAGATAGGAGACTAGTATGATAGTGTTTTGTTTTAGGCTGCTAGTGGCTGCAGTTATGTTCTTAATACTTCATTAGGGTCGTAGGCTAGGCTGTAGTATGTTTAGTGACCCTTTGTGTACATATTATTCCCTTGGGTCTGTAGTACTGTGCCTTTGTTATTGCTTAGTGTTATTACTTTGCTCTTTATTTTCTGGTTATTGCGTTGCTGGTGTTATCTTTCTGGATTCCTTTGCTGTTACTGATACACTGTCTCTTTCTTTCTTGTGTCGAGGGTCCATCGGAAACAGTCTCTCTACTCCTCCGGATTAGGGGTAAGGTCTGCGTACATACTACCCTCGCCAGACCCCACCTATGGAATCTCATCGGGTTGTTCATTTTGCAACTCGGAGGAATACCGCTTCCGGTATTGAGATGCAAATGTCTAACACCAAAGATGCATGGAACAAACAATACTTTGTATGGAATAGCTAGCCTTTTGGGGGCGGCGCCTCTTTTGGAGACACTGAATATACACTTGGGAGAGAGGTCATTACTTCTATCAATGTATGCTCTTCCTTTTACATCCAATTTTATACTTTGAAGTTTTAAACCCCCCCC